TACCTATCATGTGTGATAGTCAAGTCATGTTAGCGAAATCATACAATAAGGTATATAATGGAAAGTTTAGACATATGAGTCTAAAACATGATTACATAAGGAAATTAATCAAAGATGGAATAATTTCCCTAAATTATGTAAAGTCAATTGAGAACTTAGCGGATCTTTTAACTAAACCACTAAATAGAGATTTAGTGGCATCTACTTCGAGTAGGATGAGGTTGAAACTCCTTTCAAATAAAGGTCCACCAATGTCGGCAACCCTACCTGTCATTACTCAAAAGGTAATCCACGGGTTCAAAGAGTAAAAACAAGTTATTCAATATGTGGGATGGTCACAACATTATTAAAATCTGCAATGACCCTACCCTAAGTAAAATAATGCTAATTGTTACTGAAGTGAGGGTTGAACATTAAATGTTTTAATGAAGTTCAGTGCTAAAACACAAATACTTCTAAAAGTAACAAAGGTACTGGAAGAATTTCACCTAAACAAACTTCGAGGTGGTACCGCTTCAAGTGAGAGTTGGAGTTTCTCTCTTAAAAGGTTGTTGAATAGGATGAGCGTAATGCCATAACAGCGCTAAGCGAGATATAAGGAACTTGAGAACACGTGGTACTCGTGTGTGTGTTTGGACCGATATTGTTACATGGAATAACTAGTTCAAAGATACAGCTACCTTTGATTCCGACTTTAGTTTGTTTGGATTACACTATGGCTAGATTCAAATCGAAAGATATCTAGTCCTTATGTATGAGTATCGTATGATTTGAGTATGAGTATCCTTTATTGAAATTTTGAACAAGTGGTGGATTGTTATATTGTTGTTCGAAATTCAATTAAGGAATGAAAATGAAATGAAACAACATCAAAAAAAAAAAAAAAAAACCCAGCATAGAAACCAAACGGTGGAAATATATATATAAAAAAAAAAGGAGGCCCAAACTTTGTGCCATGCGATCGCATGGCCATCTACTGAGATTTAAAGGAGCCCTTCAATTACTCCATGTGGCCGCATGGATTAAAACTATGCGGCCACATGGTGATTTCCTGTGATTGTTGGGAGCCTTTTTTTTACCGTTATAACTTTAAAAGTGGTGGCTTTTCAACCTATTTTGGCACATTTCGTGTACATTTGGTGAAGGCCTATAAATAGGTGATAAATCTAAAACCAAATAATGTGAATAACATTTTGTGACCAATACTCATTTCAAAATCAAAGATTAAACAATTGATTGATATTCACACTTAATTTCTTCTTTGTGTTCTTAAAGTTTTGGAGGATCACACTTATACTTTGGTGCTAGATCCTGATCTACAAGACTTGTTATAATCCTACAAATCGGTTGCCAAAGATCCTTAAGCATCTCATTCAATTCCGAGAGGAGTCAAATATAGTTTGAGGATAGCGATTACGCGTTCGAGCCTGCCATTTTATTTTCCTCAAATTTCTGGATATTAATTCAACTTGCGATTACATTTTCATTTTTTTTGTTGTCTCTTCTTCATTCCTCTATATATTTCCAACAGCCTGGCCCCATCTTGGGCCTCCGTTTTCTCCATTTTTTCATTCCACAATTATTTTGTTGGTTTTGAACAATTAATACTCAACAGGACCAGTTGCCCTCAGCCCTCAACTTTAATTGTAACCTGATTTGTGGACCTCAGGGAAAAGAGAAGGAACATTTACGAGTCTAAAATTTTGTTCTCAATTGTGTGTCCGCTCGTAGTTTATTTCATTTTGACTTTCTTGTTTGTCTTACTTGGACTTGAATCCATTGTTATGGGTTCTTGAAGTTGGCTGGCTCGTCCAAAATGGGCTCCTGCAGATGCCTTTCAAATCTTAATAACGGTGACCACGCCAACGTCGTTGACGGCTCCTTCCAATATGCTAATCTAAACAGCCTTTTGCTTATAATTTTTCTCTCCATAAAGATGAAGAGAGCTTAACATATTTGTTTTACAACACCGCTAGGAAAATTGTAGGACGAGATATAGGTAAAATATAGAAATGGAGATTGACTATGCCAATATTGATACACCCGAGGCATTTATTCCCGAGGACTCAATACATACCCCCACCTCATTTCTCTTCTTCAGTCCTCGAGGTCATCTAAGTCCTCGAGATATTGTAGTCCTCGAGATACCTCGAGGACACTTTTACATTCCCTCAATGTCCTCGAGAAATAGTCCTCGAGGACATACACCACCAACATACCTCCTAAAGACCTGGGTACCTAACTAACAAACCTAAACACCCAAGGATTCTACATCAACCCTAACACCACTTGTCAAACAATTCCATTGCAAGTAGGACATTCTTTATAATAGAAATTCCCTTGGATAAAAACTTCCAACCAACACAATCCTACTAGGAGTACACTACCTACTCCTATAAAAGCAGAACCTTGGGCCATTATTCAGGTACGTTTTCTCATTGTTCTTCAGCACATAGCCTCACGCATATATTTCCCTTTCTGACTTAAGCATCGGAGGGGCGACGAGAACACACCTCGTTGCCTTTGTTTCAGGTATCGGAAGATCACGTTCGTGCTCCTCACCAGTCATCAAGCTCGGAAAATCAGCAGGTACGATTTTTGGTAGCATCAGAGATATTGCATATTAGAATGAATAATAGACTAAGGGGAAATGGAGGTGGTGACTTGGGTTACTTTTCCCTTTACTCTCGAAATTTAGGTTGGTCGGTTTTTCTCAAAAAATTATCTAACTAGTATACTTCAATTTCCCAAGTATAAACAGGCAGAAGTCCTAATTTTCTCAATTGGGTAAAGGAAATATATTATGACTGGAAGTTTAGATATTTGTTAGTATGGATTGATTGTCTTCCTAACATAACAAGTAAAAGGGGTTGGAAATGGGGTGGTTTTGGTCTCAGTTTTTCAATAACCAGACTAGAACATTTTTAGATGAGAATTTTATAGGTTTCGTGTTTAATGGTATACTTGAATCAAACTAGACTTTCAGAATCAGTCCTAAAAAGTAGGAATTTTGTATATGGAACTATTCAACCCTGGTGTAATTCAATTCTTCGATAACAGAAAATGTAAAAAAGTTATTAGTTAGTTTTCTCTGGAAATATATTATGATTGAAAGTCTTGATATCCCTTTGTTTATGTACCTCCCATCAGGCTAGTGGCATAAGAAAGTCTGCTATATCTACTATATATTATTTAGGACTGCTTGCTTTTGATCCTGCTTGAGGGTCTGTATCGGTTGATGTGCTTGCTAAGAAAGCGAATTCCTTTTATTATGGAATAACTTTTGACAATGTGCCAAAAGCTTACAGTTCCTAGGAAATTCTTAAAGCGGTGTTCGCTCAGTTTTGACATGACATCAATCTTTGCAACTGGGTTCACACAATTTTACCAAGCCCTTGGAGTCATTATTTGATATAGAGAGGGCAAAGAATAAATCAACTGACGAACTCTCGAACATTTGGGATGATGTAATTTTTTGAACCCCATTAAAATTTTTCCTACAATTGATTTGTTGACGATTTTAAACAAACATATATGTTCTTCAGGCCACTTAATTGTGTATTGGAATTGATTATGCAGTTCAGATCCCACGCTCGCTTTTCACCGGTCTAGAAGATTGTAAGGCAAGATGAACTCAAGCTAATACATATTTCATTGCTTCATACTATATAGAATTTGCAGAAAGTAGTGTTTCGCTAGTAAGCTGACCGATTCAGAGGCAAAATTGCTTCTCGAGACTGCACAATCATTTTACTTAAATGATGCCAGGTACGAACTGGTGGAGCATTTCAACAAAGAAACCCGTGAATTTGAGTTCTAGGATGTCTTGTAGGCATTAGATATGCCTGTTTTGTAGCTTGGAAATTGCAAGAGCATGGATTGTCCTTTTCCTACTTTTAAATATTTATTATGCAAAAGGGTATGTCTCTATATGTGTTTTTATCCTTGATCATACATTCACGAGGCATGATTTTGATTGCATTACTTTCGTGCGTCATATTACATCATATAAATAGATTTGCCTCTTTATTTTTTATTTTTGTAAGGAAAAAAAATAAAAAATATAGTCGTTATAGATCCCACATAAGAAATAAAAATTCAAATTTAATAGCTTGATATGATGAATAATGATCATATTTTTCATTTTAATAGGGAAAGAATAGAAAACAAACAGGGATGTGCTTGAAAATAATTGTTTAGCTTTTATGATAAAAATGAAAAATTATATTACATCACATAAATAGATTTGCCCAGTTTGTTTCTCATTTTTGTAAGAATAAAAATGAAAAATATAGTCGTTATGGATCCCACACAAAAAATAAAAATTCAAATTGGTAGTTTGGATATGATAAATAACGATCATATTTTTTATTTTATGGGAAAATAATGAAAAACAAACAGGGACGTGCTTGAAAATAATTGTTTAGCTTTTATGATAAGAATGAAAAATTACTTTATATTTACACATTTGTAAGTGAATTAGATACGAATAATGCTATTTGCAATCGCTCACTGCGACAGTCGCCCTACGTGGCATACACATGATAGGTGGTTATTTGATACATTAATGAATTAAAAAAAAATCACTATATTAATGTATCAAATAATCACCTGCCATGTGTATGCCACGTAGGGCAACTACCGCAGTGAACGACTATAAATAGCATTATTCATTAGATAAATATTATCTATGTGACGTATATAATTTCATTTAACTTTTTTCGTAGATACAACATCAGCTATTTTGAAATTCTGCATGCCACAAATAACATATGAAGAAGAATAATTTAAGATTGAAATTTGTTGAAAAATGAGTTTTAAAAAACGAGAGTTAAATAGGGGCTAAAAGGGGTTTAATTAACAATGCAATATATTTATTCCATCTTAAAAATACTACCACCAAAAGTTCTGTGAAATATATGGAAACACCGTTTTTCTTTTTTCTTTTTTACTCTTTAAATTTATTTATTTTCAATTTTATTTTTTTACACAACGTCACAATGAACATTTCCCGTGGTCATCACGGTACAATCTTGTGTCTTTCCTCTTCGTCTCCGCACGAAAATCCCAAACCTTTCTCAGCTGAGCCAGCTCAAATACAGTCTCCAATTGTATGTCTTACATATCTACTCAGTTCACTTAATTACGCGGGCACGAATATTGCAACGATTGCTCTATATCTGCAGGTAGGCTGTCGCTTTCTTCACTCACAAACACGCGCACTATAAAGCAATGGCAGAAACCTCCGATGACGCAAAGGACATCGAGAAGCTCTACGAGTACGGAGAACGACTGAACGAGGCCAAAGACAAGTCTCAGGTTCCGTAATTTGCGTCCATTGAATCAATTTGATTGTCTTTCCGATTTTCTATTCTAGGGTTTTTAGTTATCTTCCGTTTGATTTTAAAAGATCGATTTTTTGTTTAAATATATGTGTATTTTATATTTCTGTATAGAACTCGGAGGACTATGGGAATATTATAAAGACGGCCAAGAGTAGCAGCGTAAAAGCAAGACAATTAGCAGCGCAGCTTATTCCGAGGTTTTTTAAGTATTTTCCAGGCCTATCGGTCAATGCTGTTGATGCACATCTTGATTTGTGTGAAGCTGAAGAGCTTGGGGTCAGCTTCTCTCTTTTGTTTGCATGAAATTATTTATCCTTTGTGCGAAATGGATGTGAGGATAGAAGCTTTAAACATTTTATTCAAGCATGAAGTGGATTAGATTTAAGTAACTAATCTTTTCTCCTGCACATTACTGGTTTAGCTAATAATTGTTGTTGTCTGGTACATTTGTTAATAAATGTAATTATAATTGTACGTACATGTTTATTTTAACTTTCCTGGATTTAAGGCTCAGTTACATGTTTAATTTATGTATTCAGATTCGGGTGCAAGCTATTCGCGGCCTTCCTCTTTTCTGCAAGGATACACCAGAGCATCTTTCTAAAATTGTTGACATTCTTGCACAGCTCCTTACGGCTGGTTAGTTAACTGATTTCAAGTTTATCTGTCAGGAATATAGAGTGCCAAAAGTTCCTTATAAGAAAAGCAAAGAAATATGTTAATATAAAAATTTAATTCGAATATTCTTAATGGTTCTAGAGGAAAATGTGGAGCGGGATGCAGTGCATAAAGCCCTTTTGTCCTTATTGAGGCAAGATGTAAAAGGTATCTTCTCGTTGAATTGTGAAAGACTATCTATACATACGTATTGCATCTTATTTTGATTGAAATTTTGAATATCGTAGTGTAGTATTGGGAAAGGGTCCCTAACCTTTGATTTACAAAAGGCTTGATTTTGGTGCAAGATTGTAGTTATTGTTATTGTTTATCCTCAGAATGTCAAATTTACGTCTTTAATAACTGCATTATTAACATGCATAGACAGAAAATACAGCTTTGAAACCTCTTCCATAAGAACGTTGGTCTTAGCTATGGTAATATGAGGAAATAATGGAGATGAGACCATCAGTCATGTTATTCTAATTTAGTTGGATTTGATCACTGTAAATAATAATAATTGGTGGACTGATTGAAGATAGTCTTAAAATCTGTACGGAATATACAGTCTCACGCACAGAAAAGAGTGCTAGTAGTTTAAATATTATTTGGAAGGTTTAATGCTATCTTTTTGTGTCTAATGTATAGCATCCCTTCAAGTTTTATGTTTCCCAATAATTCTGTATACATATCACTCATTTTTCCCTAGATAAAACGATCCTTTAAAGAAATTCCAAGTGGGAGGCAGATCCCACCCATGCCATACTTTCACAAGCCACTTACGCACAGACCCCACCCATGCCATACTTTCACAGTTGCTGCTCCAACTAACCCACATCTTCCACCTTCACCTGCTGCCCACCTCATCACTTGTACATAGCATAATTCACTCTCCAAGCCCGATTAATCTGAAAATTGGCTATTTTGTTGCAAAGTGGCACTACTTGAAAATCTAAATCCCTGTTTGCAGAGGTATTGGATGCAATTCTCTTGACGGAGATTTTGGGACACAATTTACTAAATAGAGGTTTTGTGAAATCATCGAGCAGTCCACTTGTTATTTGAGTTGGATTTATATTTTCTTGGACAGCCAGCAGCTCAATTTGAGCCTTGTGAGGTTACCAAGGTCAATTGGTATTTCTCCACTTAATGGTTATTTACCTGATCCAACATTGTCAGATTTGTCCAAATTCCAATAAGTCATCTGGCAGCCCATTTGTCAAGTGAATTGGAATTGAAATATATCATGCACCACCTGCGACTTGTTTCGACTCTTATGAGGTATACTAATCTTGTTATTTGACAACTCTACGTCCTATTTAGGTGTTTGTGGCCAATGCTATCTCATATTTAAAAAAAATGTCATCTTACACCACGTACTCTTGATACGACAATTCTTACACCCAACGTACGTCGCTAGGTCACTACCATGGTCATGTACCTTTTCCTTGCACTTAACAACATAATTATCCTCCACCTAAGAATTTTGTCGGAGACATAAATTCTCCCTCTAGGCAAGTCAGACTCTAGTTATGGGACTTTGATGGTCTCATAGGACCTGACTCATTTTTTTATTGGCTCAATACATTTGAGATATTTTTTGACCATCACAACTTGATTGACCCGCATCGTATTTTTCATGCTAATATGTTGCTTGTTGGATCATTTAGGTGTTATTGGAAGTCCTTTTTGCATAACATTGATAATCTCAGTCAGCGTCCTATCAATATGGGATGAAATGAAACGGATATTAAGTAACAAATACGCTCCTATATATTATCGAACTTAATTGTTAAATCAATTCTTTTTATACTATAGGCAAGGTATGTCCACTTTTAGTATATAGTTCACTTCGCAATTGTTATATTTATGAAGCTCCCATCATCGTTGCGTCTAGGTTTATTGATGGTTTGAACCTCAAATCTTACTTAATGATATTCTTGCATTCCAATCTTTAGATAACGCTTACTAATAGGCTATATAATGGAACATATCCTTCCATCTTTGTCAAGCATGTCATAAGCTAGGTATATCATCCTAGTCTCGACAGTCACCTCTCGAGTCTAATTGTGTTCCTTCTAAGAAAGATATCGAGGTTTCTATTGTTGAATCAACCGAATAATTTGATACCAAGGATGAGGAATTATCTATATTGTTGTCCCTTAAGTCAAACGGTTCACATATCCTCGATTTTGTGCCTAAGTTGATCTTGCCTAATATGTTTTACGACTCTAATGTTGACTTTGATACGATTTTACCTCTACTTTGTGATGTTTCTCTGGTTACCACGTTATCCAATATCATTATTTGTTCAAGCATTTTTCCCACACGTGTAAAGAAAAAATCGAATTTGTCACTTGAACTTAATCTATTTGATTGCTCATCACACTTAAATGAGGGTTTGATTTCAATATGGTAGAATTGTTTTCTTATCGAGGTACATTCAAGCTACCATTGTTGCATTCAATTGTTTCCGCATGCCAGTTTATTTTGCTAGATCATTGTGCTCATTATGCACAATCAATTGAAGATTTTGTGAATGAGTTGCATAGATTTTCGCCTTTTGGAGTTCTATGTCGTTGTTTGTTTAGAAGCAAAGATCGTTGTCCTTGGTCATATCATAGTTATTGGGAGCATTTGCAACTTCTGTTATTCTTAAGTAATAGTTCAAATATTTGATTCACAAGAAAGATCATCTCCTTTGGCTTGAGTTCAACCTTAGGACGTTGTTCAAAGTTCAATATAGGAAATTAGTCAAGATAAAAGATAAACCTCCTTGGAATATGAAGTTTCAGTCCCTCAGCCGGGGAGAAATGATATAATATTATCGGAGATAATTATTTAATTAGTTTAATATTTTGATTCGTATTTTATGTTACATAATTAGATTGTGATTTAATAACTTTTATAACATTTCTTAATTTAGTTATGATTTTTGAAACCCTATACAAAGGGTGTCATGGTGGTGTAATAAGACAACCTTGAAATGAAATAAAGATTGATATTTTCTCCACCTCCTCTTTTTCTATTTCTCCCTCCTTTCTCCCCTTTCCGCTTATATAATTCTCCTATTGTATCCTGCGTCACTTAAGTCTTAGTGTACCCCCAGCTAAAACAAGAAGAAAAAAAAAGTTAATAGGATTGCCTGATGGGTTATAATAGCCTGTCTCCAAGAACTATAGGATACCTGCAGTGTTGGAAACATAGACATGAGATGTCATCAAAATGAGGCTACAGATCATATCCCAGTTCTTTGAGTGAGCCTTGTTCTCGAACTCATGATCCCTGTTCAATGGTTCAGGCAAGTCGTTTCCCAGAGTTCAGATATGCTATCATGGCCCTACTAAAGAACAAATTAATAAACTTGACACTCAATGAAAATAGGTTAAATCTGATCTACAGTTAATAAATATCTGACATGTGGTTTGATTTACATGTTTACAGTTTAGTTTATTTTTTATTTAATTATTATTATTATTATTTTAGAGCATGGAATATATACATCAATTAAAAACATATATTGATAGCTTGTAGGGTTTGATTTGAAGTAGTGGGACCTTAGTGATATGCAACGAAGTGATGTGTTGTGCATGTGGTTCATATAGAGTGGAACACAGGTCTTGGATTAAATTGGCCGATGCCGGAGTGGAGCAACGGCATTGGCCTTGCGCTTGTGTGGGTTTAATTCACTGTCTGGTTGTTAAGGACGTCGAATTGTTTGGGGGTGCCGGGGCAACGCCCTCACGGTACGGTATAGGGGTATTTTTTGTACGGGCCTTAAAGTCTTATATGGGCCCAGGCTAGGATTAGTATAAATAATATGTTGTAACCCTATTTTTCACTATTGAATAAAATTATCTTTGCTTTGGTCTCGTGGACGTAGGTCTCTTTATTATTGCGCATAAAATTCAACAACTGGTATTAGAGCCAGGTTTAGATGGCTAGTTCTTTGATTGCAAAATTCGATGTGATGAAGTTTGACGGATCTGAGAATTTCAGATTATGGCAGCGAAGGGTGAAGGATTTGTTAGCGCAGCAAGGGATGGTGAAGGCATTATCTGGGAAGAAGCCAGAGGGTACGTTAGATGTTGATTGGGAAGAGCCTGAGGCGCAATCAGTTGGTATAATTCGGCTTTGTTTGGCGGACGAGATCATGTATCATGTCATGGACATTGAGTCTCCGACGGAGGTTTGGGAGAAATTGGACAGTCGTTATATATCGAAGTTTCTCACGAACAAGTTGCATTTGAAGTAGCGACTGTACGGGCTGAAGATGTTGGAGGGTATAGATCTGATTCAACACACCAATGTGTTCAATCAAATTATCAACGATCTATTGCGACTTGAAATCAAGTTTGATGATGAAGACAAGGCAATGATTTTGCTGTGCTCACTTCTTCATTCGTACGACCATCTGGTGACCACGTTGACGTGAGGTAAAGAGACTCTCGAATTGGAGGAAGTCACATCAGCCCCGGTACCCTACAACCAGTGGAAACTGCGTACTGGTTAAATTTCACAGGATGAAGTGTTGATCATGAAGGACTACTAGGATCATGGGAGAAGGAAGGACAGGGGTGGTTCTTATAGAGGGAACACAAGATCAAAATTTAGGAATCAAAATAAGAAAAACGTCAAGTGCTACAAATGCCATCAGATGGGCCACTTTAAGAGAGACTCTCCCAATAAGAAGCAGGGTGATAAAAGGAAAGGTGATGAGTCCTCAATCTCAGCTAGTGTTGTAGAAAGAGACTCGATTTTGGAGATGGAGACATCTTATCAGTCTCTCCAGGTAATTCTGTAAAATTAAATGACTGTTGGGTACTTGATTCAGCATGTTCACATCTAGATTGATTTTATTTATATCGTTCTAATAATTTTGGATCCATTTTGATGGGTAATGATACATCATGTAAGATCATTAGAATGAGTTCCATAAAATTTAAAATATTCGATGGTGTGGTAAGGACCTTGAAAAATGTTAGGCATTTACTTGAGTTGAAAAAGAATCTAATTTCTCTAGGCACTTTAGACACAAATGGTTACTCTTATAAATCAGAGTGGGGCTTTTACAGTGAAGAAAGGGGCTATAGTTGTAATGAAGGGTTAGAAATTAGTGGGGAATATTTATAAACTACTCGGGGATATAGTTGTAGGTGGAGTTGCTACAGCATAATCTGAGTCAGACGACACTCTTCTATGGCATATGCGACTGGGACGTATAGGAGAATGTGGCATGTTGAGCTTCACAAGAGGAATTTGTTGAAGGGGTAAAATCATGCAAGCTGGATTTCTACAAGTTCTGTGTACTTGGAAAACAGTCCAGAGTACAGTTCAAGATGAGAGAGCACCAGACAGAGTACAGTTCAAGATGAGAGAGCACAAGACAGAGGACATTCTTGATTACGTGTACTCTAATGTTTGGGGAGCAGTGAGGGAGTTGTCAAAAGGTGGATCTCAGTATTTCATTACTTTCATTGATGACTTCTCTAGAAAAGTTTGCGTATATTTCATGAAGCACAAGTCTAAAGTCTTTGCCAAGTTCAAGTTGTGGAAGGCAGAAGTTGAGAACCAAACTGGTAGAAAAATTAAGTATCTGAGAATAGACAATGGTACATAGTACAAAGATTCACAATTTCTAAAATTTTGTGAGGAGCATGATATTCAGCGGCACTATATAATTCGCAAGAAAAAGCAGCAGAATGGTGTAGCGGAAAGGATGAACAGAACAATTGCAGAATGGGCAAAATATTTGAGGCTGAATGTAGGGCTTTCGAAGAGTTTTTGGGCAGAAGCTGTGAACATAGCATGTTATGTCATAAACAGATCACCACGAGCGGCATTAGATGGGAAAGTTGCAAAGGAAGTTTGGACAGGTAATGAAGTTGATTATTCTGAATTGAGAGTATTTGGGCGTCCGGCTTATGTGCATGTATCTATCGATCAGCGATCCAAACTTGATCCGAAATCAAGAAAATGAATTTTTCTAGGCTATATGTAAGGTGTAAAGGGTTACAAGTTTTGGGATCCAGGGGCAAGGAAGATGGTGATAAGTAAGGATGCAGTCTTTGATGAAGCATTCATGCTTAAAGCCTCTCCAGATAAAGAGAAGCTCAATTTAGACGAGGGCAGCGGTAAGAGCTAAATGGTACAAGTAAAGCTGGACAATGTTAACACAGAAATTAATGCTCAGGGAGCGGATAGTTCTGGGTCAGTGGTGGAGTAGTATCATAGTGTTACCTTAGATAAACCACGTCGCACTATCAAGCCACCAGCAAAGTATGGATTTGAGGATTCGATTTTTTATGCACTCATTACCAGCAATAGCGATCCTATAACTTTTCAGGATGCCATTTGCAGTCAGGAGAAAGATAAATGGATAGAGGCTATGACGGAGGAAATTGAGTCACTGCATAAAAATGATACTTGGGATTTGGTGGAGCTTCCAGGGGGGAAGAAGCAGATAGGGTGTAAGTGGGTGTACAGAAAGAAAGAAGCAATGTCAGAAAAGGAAGGAGAAAGATACAAGACTCGATTAGTAGCAAAGGGATACTCACAGAAGAAGGGAGTAGATTATGATGAAATTTTCTCCCCGGTCGTCAGACACACCTCCATCAAGATTGTTTTGGTAATGGTGGCTAATTTTGATTTGGAGTTAGAGCAGTTGGATGTGAAGATTGCTTTTCTTCATGGTGATTTGGAGGAACAAATTTTCATGGAGCAGCCAGAAGGGTTTTTTTAATCAGGAACAGAGAATCTTGTGTGTAAACTGAAGAAGTCTTTATACGGATTTAAGCAGTCTCCACGGCAATGGTACAAGAAATTCAACTCTCATATGATTCAGATTGGCTACAGCCGTTGTGAGTATGATTGTTGTGTTTACTACAGAGTTCTTGAGGATTACTCATATATTTTCTTGAAGTTGTATGTGGACGACATGCTAATTGCTACTAAGAACATGGACGAGGTAGACAGATTGAAATCTTTGCCGAGCAGTAATTTTGATTGAAAGACTTGGGACTGGCTAAGAAATTTTTTGGCATGGAGATCAACAGAGATAGGAAAGCCAGAAAATTATGGATGTCTCAGAAAAATTATTTGAAGAAAGTGTTAGAGAGGTTGAGCATGTCAGATGCAAAACCAGTTGCTACACCATTGGCAAATCACTTCAGATTGTCTAATAATCAGTGCCCAAAGAATGAAGAAGTTGCAGAGATGTCAAAGGTACCTTATGCCAGCGCAGTTGGATATTTGATGTATGCAATGGTGTGTACCAGACCAGATCTAGCACATGTAGTCAGTGTGGTTAGTAAGTATATGGCTAATCGTGGTAGAGAGCATTGGAGAGCTGTAAAGTGGATTTTCAGGTACTTGAAAGGTACAATGGAGTGTGGGATCATGTTTGAGAGACATGGTGATATTTCAGTTCAATGATACGTAGATGCAGATTATGCAGGGGACTTAAATGATAGAAGGTCCCATATAGGTTATGTTTTCACACTCACAGGTAGGCCCATATATTGGAGATCAATGGTGCAGTCAATTGTGGCATTATTTAAAGCCGAAGCACAGTACATGGCGGCAATTGAGGCAGCCAAGGAATTATTGTGGTTGAAAGGGTTTGTCAGGGAACTTGGGATCAAGCAAGATGGAATGAAGCTGTACTGTGATAGTCAGAGCGCCATCTTCCTAGCTAAAAATCAGATTTGTCGTGTAAGAATCAAGCACATTGATGTGAGATTTCATAAGATAAAAAGAGTTGGTTACTTTAGAAGAGCTGTTGTTAGAAAATGTACATACCTCAGAGAATGCAGCAGACATGATGACAAAGCCAATCACAATGGCTAGGTTCAAACATTGCTTGAACTTGATTAATATCTCTAGGTGTTAGAGATGATGTGTTCCAACCTATTGGTCCTAGATGGTGTGGTTTTCCAGGTTATGTTTTTCTCCTAAGGGGTGAATATTCGCCAAGGTGAAGATTGTTGTGCATGTGAGTCATATACAGTGGAACACAGGTCCTGAATTAAATGGGTCGATGCCGGAGCGGAGTGATGGTATCGGCCTCGCGCGGGTTTAATTCATTGTTTGGTTGTTAGGGTTGCCCCCGCGGTGCGGTACAGAGGTATTTTTTGTATGAGCCTTAAAGTTTTATATGGGCGCAGGCTAGGGTTAGTATAAATAATATGTTGTAATCCTATTTTTCACTACTGAATAAAATTATCTCCGCTTCGCTTTCGTGGACATAGGCACACCACCGAACCACGTAAAATTCTTGTGTTGATTTTTCTTTTTTCATCTCTTTATTATTGCGTACAAAATCCAACATGATGTAATTCTGTGATATGGCTCTGTGTTTCGCTGTCAAATATATTAGATGGATACCCACCTCTAGTCTTGATGTTCCTAAATATTGAGCTCTGTAAGCGATCTGTACATATTTTGTCTAGCGTTACTAGAAGTCCTACAAAATCCTTTTGCTGCATGATCCTCAGCTAACTATATCATGCTTTATCTATCCATTCCTTTTCTTTTTCCTTGTGGCTTTGAATTCTGTGATATGGCTCTGTGTTTCGCTGTCAAATATATTAGATGGATACCCACCTCTAGTCTTGATGTTCCTAAATATTGAGCCCTGTAAGCGATCTGTACATATTTTGTCTAGCGTTACTAGAAGTCCTACAAAATCCTTTTGCTGCATGATCCTCAGCTAACTATATCATGCTTTATCTATCCATTCCTTTTCTTTTTCCTTGTGGCTTATCTGTTCGGAGGAATGGGGCTGGGTTGTTGAACTACTACCCGTTTTAATTGGATTTAGTCTTGTTGAGCTTCAATTAAGTAATGCTTTCTTCATGCAGCTTCTTTGACAGCCCTGTTCAAGCACATTGAGAGCATCGACGAGCAAATAATAGATGAAAATCTCCGTGAGAGAACCTTAATCTTTATTAGAGATAAGGTGGGAAGATAAACACTGTGACTCCATGCCAATTTAGTTGATTCATGGTTGTTTTTGGTTTAAACAGTTAGAGCTAAATAATGCAATGACTTGGTCCTTCTATTGGAAATATTTAATGCAGGTATTTCCTCTTAAAGCTGAGCTCTTGAAGCCTTCCGATCAAATGGAAAGACACATAACTGACCTTATTAAAAAGGTATATCATCACTGTATTGGTCCCACATTTTCTTCTCTTGTGGTGAAGGATACATGTTTCATTATTTAATTCTTCTTCACAAAAGATAGCAGAATAATATATCTTCCTTTAGTATGAAATTTTCTTGGTAGAAAGTAAAGAAAATTGCTACTGTTATATCAATTATGCATACCTATTTTTGATATGGTATTTTTAGAACAAGATTCCAGATTGACTGGGGGTTAAATTGCAGAGTCTACAAGATGTAACAGGAGTTGAATTTAAAATGTTTATGGACTTTTTAAAAAACCTGAACATATTTGGAGAGAAAGCTCCTCCCGAGCGAGTGCAAGAACTTATTGAAATCATTGAAGGCCAAGCTGATTTGGATGCACAATTCAATGTGAGTATTTTCTTTATTAGGTATTGTTTACTATAGTATTTGTCTCTCTCTCTTTTTTGTGCTTTCACAAGGAAATTAAGTTTTTACCTTGTATAGTCAGCACGAAGATTACATTATGTTGCTGATATTGGAAGAAGCCAATCCATCTTTACAATTTGTAATCCAAGATTTCAAAACCCGTATCATTCTCACGAGTAAACCATAGAGCCTAACAACTAGCTTTCCCGAACTTGCGTCCACAAGTGGAGATGGGCCATTTTATAGACTTGATTGTGTCTAGTAATTGAAGTGGTAGGAATAGGTGCTTTCCTATTTAAGAAACCCACCCTTGACTTAAATGTGCTTTTAATTTCTGGATGGCTATTGGATGTGTTCTTTTTCTCTGATAGATTTTATTAATGACAAATCACTCCATGTAGGACCACAACTTCTCATCTTCAACACCCTAAAAGACTTCATGTTACGACATTTTTTTGTTGCTCAGCAGTATAAGATTTTCAATGGGACAAATCCCAATGTTAGGATTGTCTCTTGTTGGACATCAGTGGAAGTATAGTTGTCAATTATGTGTGAACAGTTCTCACTCCTTGGTCCTGATTTTCCATGGCTGTGTTTCAATTCTAGTTTATCAATTGGCTTGTGATCCGTATTTTTTATTTTTATTTAAATTTTGCCAAGTGATGGAATTTTAGATTTCATGGTAGAATGGAAATATTTACGTGCAGGAGAAGTGTGCATGGGCTTATGAGTCTTGCCATATAGAGTGTACTTCGTTTTCATGAGTAAGTCAAAGAATAAAGAGCACCCACTGCAGCCTTTATTCTTTTGTTTCACTGTGGTTATCACCCCCTGGCTTAGCTTGGAGGTGGTGTGAAGCAGAAAATACCTTTCACTCCCCCCTTTGATCAGTCTTTGAGAAGCACTGTCTAGAAATAAAATTGTTTTGGAAATTTAGTGGCATAAGAGAAGCATTGACCACCAGAATAGATTTACATTTTCCTCTAAAATTACCCCAAGTCTGTGGTTGTCCTTTGAAGTTAATCAAAAATGAATTCTATCATCTTGGTGGATCAGAGGGTTCTCGTTCTGTTTGATTTGAGAGCTGAACCACGGCCCTGACTGGTTTCAGTTATGTTGTCTCCTTTATATTGACTGAATTGTTCAAAATGTGAGACATTTGGTTTCTATGGTTTTGAGTGTGAGTTTCTAAATGATTGCTCAAGTCTCAGCTCGTGATTTTTAGATGAAAAAGAGTAATAAAAAATAAAGGAAAGAACAAAAGAAATTGTTGTTTTGAAGTTTCATTTTCACGATACTAAATTATTAGCACTGTTTGTATTGCAGGTTACAGATGGAGACCATATTGATAGACTTATTTCATGTCTATTCATGGCTGTTCCATTTTTCGAGGTGTGTATTAAACTGAATATTAATTGTCACTCTAATTTATTTACATGTTAATGTATTCTTACAGCCTCAGAACTTCTTGAACATGCAGAGAGGGGCATCTAATAGCAAGTTTTTCAACTACGTGAACAAACACATTTTTTTAGTTTTTGATGAGGTAATTACCTTACGGGCTTGTTCCATTGTAATATTCAGCTACTAGGTTCGTGTGCCCTGTATTTTTGTATATAGAACCTTGCTTCTGCATTAATTTCTCATTTTATGTTCTCATGGTCCTCGACCACAATTTTCATATTATAAATAATGTGTTCTCTATGAAAATTGCGTGGTTTCTGTTTCAGCTTCCTGAAGAACGAAGAGTGGACCTTCTTAAAAACATTGCCGAGAGTTCACCTTACACCTCACCACAAGACTCGAGACAAATCCTGCCTTCTGTCGTTCAGTTGTTAAAGGCAAGTTTAAGAAGTTAGCCTCCATTTGGATACAAATTTATTTTGGATTTATAAATTCAGTCAAAGTCAAAACATTAATTTCAAAAACACATTCATAACTATTACTAATTATTATCCACACATTTCATGGGACCCACTACTATTCCTCTTTATAAGCCATAGATAAATTTGTCAAATGGAGTCTTAGTTTATGGCAATTAATACTTCTAAATGATATGAGAAATGTATATTACAACTGATTTAGAGGTCATACTGGCCTAGATAACCCCAACCCCAACCCCAACCAAAGAAATGTCGCGAGAAGCCAGCACCTTTACAATTCAAGGAGCTTTTGCTGAGAATATTTCTATATTATTTGACGTTATGCCTCATGAAACCTCTCTTTCATTGTTTCAGAAGTACATGCCTCGAAGAAAAGCAGGAGAAGAGATGAACTTTACCTATGTTGAATGCTTGTTGTACACATTCCACCATTTATCTCATAAGGTTATTATTGCTACTTGATTTTTGCCATTGTAACACCTTTTGTGTAACTGCCTTTTTAGTGCTCATTTGTTTTCTTTTGTGACTACACAGGCTCCAAGTGCCACTAATAGCTTATGTGGTTTCAAGATTGTCACTGGGCAACCATCGGATAGGCTAGGGGAGGACTTCTCTGAGCAATACAAAGATTTCACGGAGCGGTAAGTTTATTCAACCTACCACCATCTTTATTCTATTTATTTTTCTCCTAAAATATTTCAAAATAATTTTGTCTCCTAATTTCTCGAAAAATTTCACTAGAGGTCACCCACTTACATGTTTATTTCGTGTTGGTCACCACCTGACTTATATTTTTAATACAATTTGAGCATTCCATCTCTAGATGTCTCCAATACTAACTGCTTTCATTACCTGTGGCTAGTGGAATTTGTGACCTCGCTAATGGGATTGGCCCTGTACTTAAATACATGCCATCCGTCACTAGGAAAGACTCTTTACAAGAAAAAAAGGGGATATTTAGCCCTTGTTTGAGGCATTTTGAATAGTAGATTGATGGAGAATGTGTGGTTAAAAATTAAAGAAAAGTTTTGGGTTTGCATGTAATATTATTTATTGAAGAATATGTGGTTGAAAATGAGTTTTGAAAAAATGAATTTTTAGAAGAATGAGGCTCAAAAATATGTTTAGTAGAGGAATGTTGCACAGAGACGCTCTTTATGAAATAGAGGGAAGGAAATTATAGAGCGCCAACTTTATGAGTCCGTTGCATGATTTATTTTCATAACCAAACCAGTAATAGCTCATTTTAGCTTCTGCAGAAAATATGAACAGGTGGACAGTGTTGATTTACAAGTTATGTTTCTTTACATATAAGGAAGATTTCCCCTGTTCACCATCACATGCACCGATGTTGTTTCCTCTCCTTTTGTTTAAAAATGTAACATAATATCTTCATGACCTTCTCACATTTTTAATATATCTTTTGTTAATGCTACAGGTTGAACTGCGTTGAAGAGTTAGCGAGGGCTACAATGAAGAAGTTAACCCAGGGAATGGCTGAACACAACAAAGCATTGGCAGCTGCTTCATCTGATGAAGCAAAGGATAGAATTGTGAGTTCATCTTACAAGACCTAGTGTGTTAATCGTTTTCCAACTATTAACATATATGACCTTTGCATTATGCAGAAAATGCAGAAGCAGAACACTACGACTGGATTGCGAACTTGCAATAACATCCTGGCTATGACACAGGTACAAGGATATAAAAGTGATTTGGAATTCTAAGTACATATGCATGTTTTTGAACTAATCTTCTTGCATTTTTTTTACAGCCACTGCACCCCAAGTCACCTTCATTTATTGGTGACAAGAGAGTTAATTTGTCCTGGAAAGAAACTGTGAAAACTTCGACAACATCTACTCCTACTGTTGGGTATGTATCCTATTGTCCCACGATGTGAGTTGACTAAATTGAACATTTGAGCACATTCAATTTACTAATATATTTTGAGACGTAAGAAATTTGACTATGTACGCAAGGATAAAAGTCCTGTTACCTAGTTTACCATTCTTAAAAATGTTAGCAATATGCTTACTACGAATGTATTATCAGATCTTGTATCTTTGTTCAGAAAATACCTAACAGAAAATTCAGTAATATTAGTTCCAATTTCCTTCTGATCTAATTACATAAATTGTGAATCTGAAGAGCATAATTGCCACCCCAACCTGAAGGTGGGTGGTGTTAATTGGTAGGATTAAAACATGCCAGCAATAGTGATTATAATAATGCACATGTGAGCGTCCATACAGATACGGTATATTATGTGGTGAAAATTATGGGGCTGACCGTATAAGAATTCTTTGCTTATCTTGTAATTATGATATAGCTACCATTTTCACAATCTTCAGTTGATTGAATGCCAGTTCAAACGGAAACTTTTTATTTCTTATAATGCCTTCTGTAATGTAGTTTTTCTTTCGCTGTATCTTCCATGCTGTCAATTTGATGCTTTTTCCGGAGAGGAAACAAATTCAGCCTACTTACTGTATTTTCATCTGCAGGGGGAAGCGTCCTGTTGATGCTCTCAATGGTGCTGGCAATAGTGCTTCGAAAAAGGGGCGTGGAGCTGGCAATATGCAAAACCAGTATGCTAATAGGACATTTGAAAGCCTGTCTTATGGAGGGAGAAGTGGCTCAAGGGGCAATGGCAGGGTGAGGGGCCGTGGTGGACGTGGGAGGGGAAGGGGAAGGAGCTACAGATAAGTTTCCATTCAGCCATGTAGCATAAAGATTTGCACTTGAAGAGTTATAAACTAGATGATAGAACGCAGTTCGAAATTGAATGTATTGATGTACTTCGTGTATCCGGACCAACTTTTAATGAGACTAAGAGATGAGTTAAATTTTCCCTTTTTTTTTTTTGTTATTGGCGTGGATGTAATGATAATTATGTTTACAGACCTGGAATTCTTTGCAATGACGATTTTGGTGGCTGCTAATCATTTTTACAGACGTCTTTAACTTTTTCTCTGATTTTATTTAGTATTATTAAGTGGGATTGTGTCGAATTCTTGAAACTCTAAATGATCTCAAGATTTCTTTAGATGGGAACGTTAAAGGCACGTAAAAGTTACTATTCGGCAGAGTGAGATTTTGATGCGAAGTGAAAAACGTGGACCCATGGTATTACCTACAACGTTCAGATTATGTTCTTTTTTAATGTGGAGCAAGTGATGAAGGAATTTATTCTCCAAAAGGAAATTCCAATCTTATGCAATCTCGATTAGTGCAGTGAAGGATATTGACACACTTCTGTCTATTATCATGTCGAATTTCTTCTCTGTCTGCCATTTAAATATGTTAAATGTGTTTTTTTTTTCTTTTTCTTTTTCTTTTTTATTCACTTTATTTAGTGTCGATTCAACGAAGGTAATTGACTCACTGTCTATTATCATGTCGAATTTCTTCCATGTCTGCCAGTTAAATATGTTAAATGTGTTTTTTATTTTTTTCACTTTATTTACTGTTCGAATTGACGCATATATATGACCATTTTTTCTTGGACAAGCTTCATACTTAATTGTGAAACATACTTTTATTTGGTATAAATAAAAATTAGATATTTAATAGATATTGATAAAATTGATGAAATATGGATTGAAATGTTGCGAATCTCGTGAAATGTGTGATTTGACTTCGATTTTAATTTAAAATTTTAGTTGAACCCAACAGGGACTACGTAAATCATTTCACAAGAAATAGTAAAATATTTCTTTTCTCCTTTTCCCCATATTCGAGATCCCTTGAGTACAAGTTGTCATTTATAAATCGATGAAAAATTTTATATGTTCCATATCCCTTTTCGCAAGCTCAATGAAATTTAGCTATTCATTGCATGTCACATATATCTTTATCAATGCCTAGCCTTTTGCTATACTTTCTCATGCTTGTACTTGCCATAGGCCGTGTCCAAGCCCGAATTCTAAGACTCAGTTCTGATGATGATCTAATTTCAGATGGGGTTGATATTGTCAGTAATCAACCACCATTTCTTAAGTCAGCCGGCTCTTCTGCACAGTTGAAATCGTGCCATCACAAGTATGGATTCCTCCCATGTGCAGAAAACATTGGAGGCTATATCTTTCACATAGTCGTGTATCAGTACATACTGATAATCGGAGGAAAACTTGTAACAGAAGGGAGCAAGACCTTGTTCAATATCCTAGGCACTGGTGTATATGGTGCTAGTGTTTTCAGAATCCTCAAGGTGTTGCCAAAACTGGTTATGGTGATTGGTAAGTAGTAGTATACATCAATAAGTCAACTTTTGGTGCGCAAAATATGGTGACACTAAAACAAAGCGTTCACGAACAGTTGATTGTAGATCTCAGGCAAGATCAGCAAGGCAATTAATTCAGTTTAGTAATTTACTGCCAGGCATCACTGCTGTGTGGAGCCTAATCATACTATGCACTTTTCTTTGACTGTTACAAAGGTCGAGGGGTGCAAGGGTCCATTGAGCACGTATTCAATTACTATATATAAAGCTTTATTTATTTATTTTTATTTTTATTTATTTATTTTGGGTGGGGGTAGGGGGGAACCGATTTTGGATAAATGAGACAGAAAGGAGTGAAAAACCTAGCAATCTCCAAAATAGCAAGAAATATGCATTAAAAGTGGATGTAGTTCTCACGTTGAGTGAAAACCACTATTAAAACTTGTGCTTGCTTTGCTTAATATTTCTCTGGTTATTGGGATTACGGCATATTACCTAACAGTTCCTTTTGTTTCTTGCAGTATCTGGAATACTCCAGAGCAAAGAGACTGCTCAATCTAAGGTTTCGTTTGGAGTAGGCGTGTACACTGGATCCACCGTGTTTAATCTCACAGTGATGTGGGGTATGTGTGTAATCTTTGGCAGAATAGAGTTATCTCCAAAATCAACTTCTATGCAAACAAGTTCTTCAGTTTCAAAATATTTGCTGGCCAAAGGAAAACTATCAGAATTGAAGGGTTTGCTCTTTTTTTCGACTTGTGTATTTATCAAAAATAAATCAATCAACGTATGAACTAAGGGTGTTTTTTAACTGCAGATACTGGAGTCACAATTGACAAAAAGACTTGTTACACAGCTGGGATTATGCTTCTTTCTTTGATCCCTTATATTCTAGTGCATTTAACCAATGTCTTCAACACGACATTTGAAAAGCGACTCGTGATTCTGATTGTGATTATACTATCAACCTTATTGCTACTGTCCTACTTTGTCTATCAGGTAGCTAGCTAGCGATGTTTCATTTGGCTACATACTCATTTACAGGAATGACACTAGTGATGGAACATATTATTCAAAATCAATAAAGAGGTGTGTGGAATGAAAGTGAAGAAATTGAGGCCGTATGTTTATGTATGCAACCGCACAGCCCTTAAGGGTGCGGTCGTGTAAGACAGTGCAGGCCCTTTTTAAGGCCCTGCTTCCGAACAGCCTATGCGGTTGCATAGGATTCTTCTGTTTGACCGCATAGAAGGTTTTATTAGCCGTTGGAAGCGGTTTTTGATTCAAATTTGGAGCACCTATACTTTGGCACCACTTCGTATAGCAATGTTTCATGGTTATAAATAGGCGGTTGATGATCATTCTAACATTAAGAAAACCACTTGATTGCATTTGTGATTATAATCTTCATTCCACAAAGAAGAAATCAAAGTCTTTCTCGTCCATATTCAATATTCTCTTTGTGTTCTTCAAGTTTTGGAGAATTTATACAAGTACATAAGTATTGATTCTCTACAAAACTTGATTGATCCTTCAAACTATTTGCCGCGAGATCCTTTAAGCACCAAAATTTGTATTCAAAAGGGGGCAAATATCGTTTGATGACAATGATATAATGTTGTGTTTAAGCCTTCGTACTCATTATGATTTTCTTCTTATTTTCATCTTCTTGATCATTTTTATTTATTGTTTTCTTCTCCAAACCCCAGTGATGAAAATTTCCCAACAACTAGTCAATATATACGTGGTTCAATAGCTCTTCTTCTTCTTCATTTTTTTTTCCTTTTTCTTTCGGCAGATTTTTTATCCTTGGATTCAGGAAAGAAGTTTAGAGTACGTTAAGTATGAAAATTTGCTAGCTGGTTTTCTGCATCATGTTCAAAGACATGCTCAAGAAAAGCTTATTGATGAAAATGGACAACCTAATGTTCCAGTCATCAAAAGGTAACTTTGATATAAGCATGTTTGATACAGAGTGTTTTAGTCTACTAAGCCATACAAGCCAGTACACTTTACATGTAGAATTGAGTCCTTTCAACACTTTGAAAGCTCAATAGTTTAGCCCAAGGAAGCATCTCATTTGTAGATTTGTTGTTGCAGATTATTTTTCCAAACAGATAAAGATGATGACAATTGTATTACATTTCATGAATTGGAAAAGTTGATACTTGATATCCAGAAGGGGAAGGTGCAGGTAGACAAAGACTATGCTGTATCTGAAATTCTGAAAACGTTCGACCAGAATACGGATGGAAGAATAGAAGAACATGAGTTCGTAGAGGGATGCAAAAAATGGATACATGAAGCTAAGCAGTTGGCTAAAAGTGGCGATTCTACGCCCAGAAAGTTCTTACGCGAGGCAAGCTATCTCTTCGATGGTGCATTTCAATTGATTTCCACGGATTCAAGAGGATATTACTGGTTTTGATTTGAACTTTTTTAGGATATTATGATTTATTTGTTAAAACTGATGATATACATTAGGGGAATGAGTACTGGACATGAATTTCGTAACTATATATGTTGCGATCCTCTTACTTTAGTTCGAACTGCAGGTAGTGCAACCAAACAAAAGAAATATGCTCACAGAGGTTGAGCATCTGATGGCAAGGATTTTGAAGCATGCCCAAAGCCAAGCACTTGAAGGACAACATCTTCTCTTCGATGATGGAAGCCCGGATATTAATCGAATAAAAGAGTAATTTTTCTTCCTTTACTTCATGGTTGCAAGGTGGATTAGCAATACTAGATAACATTAAATGAGAAAAAGAAACCTAATTCTCGTCATATGGTCTAATACTATGTTTTAAATGTGCACTCACTTTTTTACCATAAATTTTTTATGATCTTTTTTGTTTCTTTTTCTAGTCTTTTCGATAAGTTTGATACCGACAAAAGCAACTCGATATCCAAATCCGAAATGGAACAAGCAATCCATAGTGTCAAATTTGGAGAAATACAGCTAGATCGCGAGAATGTGATAGAGAAGGTGATGAAAGATTTAGACAAGGATGGTGATGACATAATCGATGAAGAAGAATTCTTCAATGGAGTAACTAAATGGCTTAATAAAGCCATTGATGTAACAAAATGCAAGGATGCAAAAAAGTCTATAGATGAATTTGACAAGGTGAGCAACAGCATTTGCTTATTGCATCAATTTTCCTCCCACTTGAACTGAGAGGTCCCTCGCTGCTTGATAAACCCTATTCATTAGCAGATATTTTTGATTCAGGGCTGTATTAGTGATTCTATAAATATGTTGGACCTCCCTAATATTCCTACATATATAAAGTTAATTAGAGGACTGTTTTAAAGAGATACATACTTGGGCATGAAATTACCATTGCTGTGAAATTATGCTTTGGCAAGTGGACGTTAAACTTCGGTATATTCGCTTGTCTGCTTCTGATTTCGTTTTTGCTAAATTATTACTCTTCACAATACGGATTAGGTATAATCCAAAACAATTACAGTGGTTTTGTTTTGAAATTTGCAGATTATGTGGAATGAAGTTGACAACTTAGTGAATGAAGGGAAACAAAATGGAAGTTCCAAGTTTAAATCAATGACATGGCCTTTTAGCAAATCTGTATTTCAAGTGATACTGGGAATTGCTGTATTGACCTTCTTCTCTGGGCCTCTAATGACTAGCATTCAACAAATAGCAGATGCTATTGGTGTCCCTTCTTTCTTCATATCTTTTGTGATAGTACCAGCTGCCATGAATGCAAGAACAGCCATTTCAGCAATATATCCAGCAAGCCAAAAGTGTTCAAGAACTGCTTCTTTGACATTTTCAGAGGTATTGGAAAACACCGAGACATTGATATATGTCTTCTTGAAATTGTTACAAATTAATAAAGTCCAAAATCCCTTCTACGAGAGCAATAATAAAATCAGAAAACAAGTTTTTAGTGGTTGTTCTCAATCTGAGAGCTATACCCACTCTACGGCAGCAGGTTTTGACAATAATAAAAAAAATGTTTACAATATATCTAAGCATACACTATGATTAGACTCTACAATGTCCAACAGATTAAATGTGAAACTCAATCAATGTGTGTTCTTAACTCTTAAGCCCTTGTCAGTAACCCAAAGAACAAGTCCTGCTTTCATTCAAAACTGATAATTGCTGAGAACATGTTTGGTACACTATTGACACTAAAATGAACAAAATTTTAGTTTCTTCTTCTTTAATATTATTTAATAGTGTATAATCTATTTTACCAAACACGACATAAATATGTGTTGCAGATTTTTCATATATATATTGAATAATTTTTAATATTATTTAATCTAATTTTAATAAACGATCGACTATCGACAGGACATGGCTTTTACGATCATTGATTGTCGACGGTCAACGATCAAAGTTAACCTCCGCCCTAGCTGAACGTTGATGTTGGATTCACCACTACTTAAGGAGGCTCTTCAGCAATATGGCATGCTCATTTAGAACATCCAAATCTCATTTTCTAAAGGACATCAGAAAACAATATAATTTGCTAAAAAGATTGACCAAAAATGTTACATCTACAAATTGTCAACCTAGAAGATGTTTCATTCAATAGATCCGATATACTATTTCAAATTTTCCTCTTGAAAAAAACCACACTGGCTTATGGGGGCCTACCCCAACATTGTCTTCTCCAAAATTCCAGTATTATGTGATTTTTATTGATGAATTTACTCGCTATACTGGTTATTTCCTTTAAAAAACAATTCTGATCTTGTTTCCTTGAATTTCAAGTTTTTGTTGAGAATCATTTTGACAGGAAAACCAAAATCTTCCAAAATGACGGAGGTGGCGAATTCATTTGAATGATTTCACACATCATTTGACTCAATGTGGGATTTCAAAAACAAATCACCTATGTTTTCCATATTTAAAAATTATAGAAAAGTATAAATTTTATCGTAAAACAAACCCTTATGTGGTCTTATTATATAATCCGTTATATGAAAAAAATCATTGTCTTAATTAACATAGTCGTTGCATATATATTTTGCCGCATAGAATTTAATGAAAATCATTTTCTTTATTCATCTAAAAATATGTTGATGCCCACATAAATTTATCAATTACTACTTTCCCTAACTGTGATGAATGGTTTTCACAAAATTCACAGCCTACTTCTTCTCCAAATTCAACAAATTCACCTCATGATAACTTTTGTCACATTCCAGTCGATGATGATGCTTATAATGTAGACTTTTTCCTTAATTAATCTGAAAATATACCTACTCAACCTTTTAGCTCCTCCTCAACCAATGATCAGGGGCAAATCCAAGGGTCGAGTTCAGTTAGGGTAGACCGTGAGCGTTGAAAGCTTACTATCGACGGCCAATGTCCGTAATAGCGGGGTTGTTTATTAATATTTAATTAAATAATTTTCAAAAAATCGTATGGAATTAGAACTAGATACACCACTAAAATTAGAACTAGGTACGAACTTTCATTTTGGATAAAAAATCGTTCCAAAATATGCAAAATGCCCTAATTTATTTTCAATTAAATAGGTAATATATATTAACAAAGTACCAATAGTTTACAATTAAAGTTAATTAAACAAGCATTATTATATTAACAAAATTAAAATTATTTATGTGCTTATATCAATTTTATGCGCTTGTATGATTTCACTTTTTCGCAATCGATTTTTTGTGAACGAAAAGTGGAACCTTTTATTAATTAAATAAGTTTTGTTGAAAGATTTCTTATGACATTAAGGTCAATTTTTCTACAAATTCATCCACCATTAATTGACCAAACTCTCAAATCAATTGATTAGAAGGAAAAAAAAAAAAGAAAATCAATATTAAGGGACAAAGCACCAATTTGAATGCTTCTACTTGCATTAAACTAATAAAATTGAACATATATTATTTTGTTACATTATGTGCTAAAAATCAATAGGTGTCATGATGATAAAGTGGTCAATATATTTAAGGAAAGGTTCAAACCACCTTCCTTACATTTGTTTTGGTAAAAATTGTTGAAATACAAAAATTATAAAAAATATTGCTCTTGAAGAATTTCGAACACAAGACCTCTAATTCAATAGTGGAAGGACTAACCAACTGAGCTACATAGATGTTTGTTGTTAATATGAATTATCAAATATATAATCTAAATATTTTATCTATTATTAGCAAAAAAAATTCTTCCCAACAAATTCAGCTAGGGGGCTGCCCCTAAATCCGCCTCTGTTGATTCCGCTGACCTTTCAAAGTCAGAGCACAAGTGATTTGAGCTACTCTCATTGAAGTAACATAACCAATTCAAAATCTCCATAAAACATATATACAATCAACTCAATTTTCATCATTATATTACTCTTTCCATATGTAGATAAAAGATGAATAACAATGCTAAAAAGACCACTTAACACTGTATAAATTATGAAGTGTACAACAAGCACAGTATCACATAAACTGAGCTTCAGCTCAATGGGTCAGTGGCATGCTCACACAATAGCTTTCCACCCATATGGTCTGTTTGGTAGAATGGAATCTACAAGATTTGACTTCAATGACCAAAAGAAAGCAGTTTAGATCTCGTTTATTGTGCTATCTAGACATGTCTAGTATCGCGAACCAAACATACACTTGGGGTTTTCGAACATACTTACTATGAGGAAATCGCAGCAGCATCTTCATTGGCGACTTCTACTCCAGAACTTAGGCCTATGCTCTTCAAAAGCAGGTGGCCGATCGTACACAACTGATGCAACCTTTATTAAAATTGCAGCTGTCAAAGCCCATATCACATAGGTCTCACTGTCTACTTGATGATCAAAAAAATGGAGCAGATATTTATTTCCCATCCATTCTCGCTCCTCTGCTCTTCGATTTTGATCCTGAATCCGGCAATACAAAGTACTATTTTAAAGAGCAACCGGGAATAAATGTCAAGCATGAACATATTTTTAGACAAACAAACCTTTAAAAACATTTCTAAAGGAGCATCAAATACTGCTTCCACCTCGTCAACATTTGGGACTGGGTTGAATGCACTTTTATCCCACATTATGCCAATCACAGGGATTACAGTAATGTTCCTCTGCACAGAAACGAGGAGAGATAAAATCTACTGAGCAATCCATCAAAGATTCTTAAAGAAGGTGAGCTCGAAATGGGTTTGAAAGATGCTAATGCCGATATTTATATTCTAATATTTCTGTCATGCAAAAGAAAATTTCAGAAACGCAAGAAGGTTAAACAAAGTCCTCTAATCAAGGTGAATAACCAGTGAGCTAAGCAATGGATCCATGTAATATAGGTTTTTATTTTGTTTGATTCCTTGAGAATAATAGAAACAAATACAATTTAAATATAAATAAACAATACATTAGTTGGTTAATCACCTTTTATTTTTACTTCCTAACCTCAAAGAACTGCAAACCATATCTAACTGCATCAATAGTTCATCAACAAAACTCAGATTGCTTTACCTTACAGTTTGGAAGCCCATTTAGAACATCAGTATGCAGCAAGAAATATTGGATATACACAATCTTACATTACTCCTAACCACAAGTCATTGTGTCTCCTTTTCATGCCTTCTTTTATATGGTACAAGGCTCTGTTAGGGATTTCTTATATGTTGGGATACAATGTTTTCGTTCTTTCATTGGGTGAATTTAGATATTAAACTTTTAATACGATGACCCAATTATGCCCATTAGTCTTTCTCAATTGCAAACGTGCAGATTCATGTCAATTTTTTTGTGCTGTTGCTTGGATCATACAAGAGTTAAAAAATTGATGAAATTAATCGAAACATAACAGCACCCAGAATTAGTAGCGAATTTCATAGACATATTACCTTAGTATGGAAGGGATGAAGAACAGTTACAACATCCACAGCACAAGGGTCCAATCCAATTTCCTCTTTAGCCTCCCTCAGTGCAGTCGCGGCATCACCGGCATCACCCTCTTCCATTTTTCCTCCAGGCAATGCTACTTCACCTGCAAATTAAATTGCCCCAGTTCTTGCAATTATCATCGAACTACTCAAATTCAGTAATAAACTGGACCGATTAAAATGCTAACCGGAATGAGAGGAAAGTGTAGAAGATCTTTTTGTAAGAATTACACGAAGATCACCCTTTTCGCCCTCAAACAGACAGATCAAAACTGCAGCTCTGTTGGTTTTGATTCCTTCAGATGGAATCGCATTTGGGTTGTTAACAGATTCTGAAGTTTGTATTGGATCTTGAATTCTTGAATTTGTGTGAGTTTTGTCATTTACGGCATCAAAAGTTGGGTCAGGTTTGTAGTTTCGGAGATGTTCGGCTAAGATCCTAAGTTTCTGGGATCTCTCAAACCTGTCAGAATTCATAGGGATAAAAAGAAAAAAAAAAACCTCGTAATTGCTAAACACGTGCGATCTGCGCTTTTTTCCCTTCGTGTAATAGATTTGACGGATAAATGCATGGACCGTCCTCAATCCTACGCAGAAAAACCACTGAGTAGGCGTATAAAGATAAATTTTTTCTTGAACTTTAAGTCCTGTTTGAGAAAGCTTGTTTAAATTATGAGTTGGTGTATTCCAAAAACGTGTTTAATTGGTGGGTGCCAACCTGGGAGCCCCTATTTACATTTACAAGAAAAATATATTATATTGTTAATCTTATATAACTCATGTTTGAGCCACATTCTACGAAAAAAATTTATTTATGTCAAATTAATGGGAAATGTGTGGTTAAAAAACGAGGAAAAATTTAAATTTGCGTGTAATATTATTTTATTGAAAAATTTGTAGTTGAAATGATATCAAATCACTGTTAAAAAATATATTTTTTTTAAAAATAATGTGGCTCAAACAAGCCCATAAATTTATTTAAACAGACATATAAAATTAAATAAAAATATATCAATCTAAATTCATCCACTAATATTTATTTTCATTTAATTCTTTTGGACCTTTTCTTTTTCATCTTTCTAGAATTTATGTTTAACTAAGCTTCCGTTTGGCCACCATTTTGTGGTAATGAAAATATGTGGAATAATATTTTTTTGAAAAATGAGTGATTGAAAAAGAATGAAAATTTTTCGATTTACGTGTAATATTATTTTATGAAAGATTGTGTGGTTGAAAATAAGAGAAAAAAATGAAATGTAATGGAATGAAAATTAATGGGGGCCAAACGGGGGCTAAAACTCTAATATTAATAAAATATCACCTTCAACTAAAGTTAAAACAACAATGGAAGAGACACCAATAGAGCAAGTACATTTAGACATATCAATATTTGAAGAATTTGAAAAAGAAATTATGACTACATTCTATTGTGGGTTTGAAGAATTTACAGGGTGTTTGAGCCCCATTATTTGTGAATAATATATTATGGAATAGTGATTGATAAAGAATTTGCGATTAAAAAAGAAAGAAATTTTTTTGATTTACGTGCAATATTATTTTAATGAAGAATGTGTAGTTAAAAATGAAAAAATGAGTACTGTAGAAAAAAAGTGGTAGAATGTAGTAAAATGGTTGTCAAATAAAGCCTTAGTATGTGAAGTATTTTTTTTTATTTGTGTTTGAGTTATTTGATAATCTGCCTTTTGAATTCAAATAGTATATTTTCTACTAGGATTAACAAGAATTTGAGTTATCTATTAGCGTTATCCCTTTTTTCTTCTTGATTTTCTTGAATTCAAAACAACGATGGCTAATATATTGGGATTATCAAAATAAATAAATAAATTTGACGGTGCATATTGATGACAATAATTGAAAATATGAAAAAATTATGATGGAATAGATATGTAAAAATGGTGAGAGAGATATATGAAAATGGTATAGATATATGGATATATAAAAATGGTGTGTGTATATATAGATATATAAAATGATGTGGTTGTGTAGTGTTTAAATGAATGAATTTAGTAAGGACAACATTTAATCGCGACGTCGATAAAAATAATATATATTTTTTCTTTTTAAAATAGGGATAGATATAAAATGACTGAATGAGATTGACATAAAATAATGATGAATGTAAATAGTGGCTCCATGGATTACATAAAACTATTAATATTATTAAAACAAAATTGAAATGTCAAACCCAACAAGTAAAATTGAAACAATTATGCTAGTTTTACATTTTTGGATTACATTTTCAATGACATTCTTCCTATATGGATGAAATCTGGCCATTGGTTGGAAAAAAAGAAGAAGAAAAAAAAAGTAATATTAAAATCAATATACAAAAAGTTGAGACCTCATACATTGTCAAATTTGATGTCTAACTTAAATTTAATGCATGTGTAACAAAACTGAAATTGAAATGAGGACCCTTTCCATGTATAATCAAGATTACAAGACAGAAGTCCCTCAGGGCATAATTCAGTGGTGCAAAGAATATGAGTGAGGTAGTCACAGCCTTATTGGCAGTCGCAGTATGAGAGTTCGATTTCTGAGACATAAAATTGGATTCTTTGTAGGCACCAGTGTACAAGCAAGCTTTTGTTCCCTAATCTGTTGAGACACATCCTGCGATTTACGTTCCTCACGCTACTCTAGAAACGGGACGGTGGAGACCCTCAAGGTTGGAGTTCAACCTTTAAAATTACAAGATAGAAGGTATTGCATAACAAATGTTAAATAGTGTTTACATGGCATCAAATCGTTACTATTCGTCTGCAGTGAGGTTGTTCTCTCTTCGTTATAAAGGTTAAACCCCAACTTTGAGGGTCCCTACCGCTCCGCCCCTAGAGCTTTGTAAAGAAGGTAAATCGCGGAATGTGTCCCAACGGGTTAGGGAACATGAGTTGTCTGTACACTGCGCCTACAAGAAGTCTAATTCCATATCTCAGAAATTGAACTCCCACGCTGCGGTTGCCAGCAAAATGTGAGATAACCTTACTCTTCTTTATCATTGTTCTTGGATTTCAGTACTGAATGAACAAAGATAAGGAAATAAAAGAACTTAGGCCCTGTTTGATTGGGCATCTTTTTCATGGAAAATGGAAATTTTTTTTTATTTTCCACATTTTGGTAGTGTTTGATGATAAATGTTTTCCATGAAATTCATTTTCTTGATTTTCTTAAAAAGTGGACTTTTCTTAATTTTCAAGGAAAACCAATTCCCACCTATAGTTAGGCTGCCAATCATTTTATTTTATTTTTTATTTGTTATTATTATTATATTTTTCTGACAATGGAAACAAATTCTATCCCTAATTATAAATTTTTTTTCCTTTAATTGACAATTTTCATATAAAATAAAGTCAAGCGAACATCAAAAGATAGATGATATTCTTAGTTTTTTTTTTTTTTTAGTGGCAATGAAAACAAATTATATCCCCAATACCAGTAAATTCTATCCCTTTAATTGACAATTTTTATGTAAAACAAAACCAAACGAATACCAAAAAATATTTTTATTTCAACATTTTTTACTTGAAAAATTATACCAATCAAACATAATAATTGACAATTCTCAGTAAAACAATTTCTAGGCAATTTAATTTCCTGTAATTCGTTTTCTTTCCACCCAAATTTCATCTTTACTATCAAACGGACCCTCAGAATCTTGTTAGTTGTCTGGTAATTCTGTCCGGTTGTAACTTTTTTTTTTCTCTCTTTCTTAACACCGTCAAGTTCTATATATAGTTCACCTTGGTTTTGCGTTTGTACAGTCAGAAGCAAACTATTGGCATCTGACCTGCATTAGAGGGCCCAAGATAGCACATTCTTGTACTGTACCTACACAAAGAACTAAATAAAGCCGCTCCACTCGCCAAAAGGGGTAATAAAGAACCTACTGAAAATTGGATTCATTTATGGTGGAATTTTAGCACCGCAACCGAGAATTATCCACTGTACAAGAAAATGCAAGAGGGTTTTCATCAAGGATCATCAAAATTAAAGCTAAAAAGAAGGAAAAGAGAGGTAATAGATGTCCATGGAGGCCGAATTGTTCGATCCATGGGACGGAAGGATAGGCACAGCAAGGTATGCACCACAAGGGGGACTAAAGAGAGACGTGTTAGACTGTCACCAAACACTGCAATTCAATTCTATGATTTGCAAGATAGGCTTGGATATGATCGTCCGAGCAAGGCCCTTGATTGGCTGATGAAGAAGGCCAAATCTGCAATTGATGCGCTAGATCAATCAGACAATCACAATGCTGAAAATGTTATGCAATCATGTGATCACCAAGCAGATGCAGGATTTCAAGATCACAGCCAAAAGGACACAATTAGGAAGGATAATCCCAGTTATCACCAGGACCATTTTAACTCGAAAAGCAAAACTCATGGCCAGAGCCTTCATTGCTCTAGTCAATATCTCTGGGATGACTCGATTATTATCTCTGGTTATGAGCAAGGCCAACTTTCCGTGTCAACAACTTCACACTTGGATTCAGACTTAGAAATGGCTGCAATTTCAAGACATTTCAGTTGGATTCATGATAGTGTTAATTCAGGTCAATTCTTTTCTCAAAGGGAACCCCTTCAGTCCAGTATTTGTCCTCACATTAATCATGCTCTGTCGAGTACCCAATTTCGCAGCGTCAGCCTTCCTGGAAATGAAATGTCAAATTTTTTTGCTGAACCAAGGGAAGTAGAGGAAAAAGAGAGTAATTCAAATTTCCTGAAACCATCTTCTTGTACGCCGTTTTCACATTATGAAGACTTGGTGGATGGTAGTCCTCTTCCTACACAGTACGTATTGTTAAACCATCTCACTTAAAAGCTTAATTACCTGTACCATTTAAATTTAGTTTTCAACACATCTCTTCGATTACAGAGTCCACTTGTTTTATCAAAAGCTTGATACAGTGCAAATTTTTTGACAGCAATACTTGAACTCTAGCGCCTGGACAAATTACAAGGACGGTCAGAGCAACTGAGCAAACTGTGTGATTTGAAGTTTGCAGTGTGTGATTTTCTTCGTGATTTCTGTTGTAATCTTTATTACGTTTGCATGTCCCAGTAACAGCGAGTTATCTTTTATGAACTGCTAAGAGACCCCAGAAATAATACCAAATTTGCCGAGTGAGTAAAAAAATATAGAAATAGGCAAAGTATGACATGAAGGGAGAATGGATTTTTGTTCGTTTTTATATATTATATACTCGATATTTTTTATATTTATGTTATATTCTCCTGATTTTCAGTAAATTATCTACATTATTTCAGTGGTTCTTTTGTATCTTTCAATTTCAAGAAAGAATTTAATTAGTGGTCCATTATTGGCTCAAAAATACAGTTGTTTAAAACGAAGGAAACATATCACCTCTTAAATTGGTGCTTGCACCTCACATGGATGATGGACCAACTCCACAGACGAAAATTTGAATGTCTGTTAAATATATCTAGATAACTTCTCCAAATATACATAATAACTGTGAACAAACGAGTACCAGAAACAAGCACGATTCAAAATCCAATATTTTTTTCCAAGCGATCAAATTGCAGCTTTCTTCATCTTTTCTTTGCTGCTGCATAACAAGTTAAACTCGAGATTCATAGTAGGGAGCTATTA